ACCCAAACAAGCTGATTCTCAAAGCGTTATTATCTTGGCATAACCCGGCATGGTGTGCAGTGTTCCCCTAAAAAATTGGAGGAAATTCCTCAAGCAGAGGACACAAGAAATGGTGAAACTAAATAAAATATCTAGCGCAGATGAACAGTATCGGAAAGTCGTTTCTTTAAGAAATAGGAAAGAATCCAGCAAAGATCTGGCACTGCACATCTGTAAGGTGCGATGATTTGGGACTGCATTTTAGCCGGCGGTGCTTGGCATCATGTCTCAACTGATGGAATTATGCACGCAGAAAACTGCAGCCCTATTCTGACTTATCAGAAAAGCATCTGCTCTATTTTCAGCATGAGAATGAGCACAAACAAAACACACAATGGATGGATGGCTCAAGACTTTTGCACAATACTGTATGCTGCCTTGTAACTCTGAAAGTTTTTCTACTATAATCTATTTACAGATGTAATAATAGGCTTTCAGCATATTCCTTGCCCTCACAGAGACATTGAATCCTCTATCAGCCAAAGCGGTTTGAAACCTCAGGGTCAAATTTAAAATGTCATGCTCAGCTAACTTATCTTTTCTCCAGCGTGGGGATGTGATTGACATCATCAGCAAGCCTCCAATGGGAACGTGGATGGGCCTGCTGAACAACAAAGTAGGCACCTTCAAGTTCATCTATGTGGATGTGCTGACTGAAGAAGAGGAGAAGCCCAAAAGGCCAGTTCGGAGGAGGAGGAAGGGCCGGCCACCCAAACCCACTTCAGTGGAGGAGCTACTGGATCGTATCGATCTCAAGGTACATTACCAGCCAGATTTTGCCATGTATTGAAAGTGAAGTGGCTTTAATGTAAAAAGTTACGTTCGCTGGTTGCAATCAGTCGGCTGTCTTAACTGGATAATAAGCCCACCCATCTGGCACTTCGGTAAAAGCAAACAAATGCTTTGAAGCAAATGAAAATATTGTGTTAGGCAAATATCTCAAGCACATTTGCAGACAAGCGGAGATAAATATAGTATGTCTAATTACAGGCTGCACAGCTTTGGATGTTTGATTTGCCACTGACGCATAAACATTAACACCCACACTGTGACTGCCACACCCCGACAAATAGTTCGCATCTTTCATCAAAACCTACACATCACTGTGAGCGTGATATCATTTCCTCCCACCCGGGCAGCCAGCAGGCCTCACTTCCCCAAATAGAGAGAGAAGTTTTGTGTGTTGTCTCTTTCATCCCATTCCAATTTGGTGGCCAAGCCGCAGATTAAAGATTAATGCTACTAAACTGTGAATCTGGCTCTTATAAGTGCATCAGAGTGCTCATGTCCTCCCAGATTTGTGCAGTGGGGAACGGATGTTATACATGATATACAACCACAGTGCATTCATTTTTTCAGGTGGTTTAAGTGGCAAAGAAAACGTGAGAAATGACTTCAAGCTCACCATTTTTCTTGATCTCTCCTTTTAGCCTGCCATGTCATCTTGAGCCCAGTAGCTAGAAACCTAAAAAGTGAAAGTTGGTTAGTGAATAAGGAAAAAAGACAAAATAATCCATTATCTTCAGATTATTTTTGGCTACCTCAGTGGCAGACAGTTTTATACTAGATGTAAATCAATTGTAGTGAATGCCTCAGTAATCTTTTATAGTTCCAGCCTTTCTCAGGTTTTCCTCCGTTGCAGTATCCATCCCAGCAGGATAAGCTGTCTAAGCACTAAATATTCTAAAATTGAGCTGTCACAGGCCAAAGTAGTAGTATTACTTTGTGTTTTTGGAACTTCTAGGCCAACATTTGGTTACACTGGAAAATCAGATTTCAACAGGGCCTCTCTGTAACTGAAGTGTAAATCTCCTCACCCCTGTTGTTTTCCACCAGTGGACTCTGCCAAATAGTCTTCGGATGTGGAGCGTGTTTACATATTTCAGCTGGCACAAAAACACGAAAAAATTGGTGAATGAGAGGAGCCAGCTGCCTGTGTTTGTGTTAGTTGGTGGTCCTTTGTTTAGTCCCGCATCATCCAGCAGAAACGGGACAGACCAACCTAGTTCTCTGCCCTGGACTCCAGCGCTGTAATTGATGGTCTTGCTCATGACACACGGTCTCAATATTTGTCCAACAAAAACGTGTGGGTCGCACAGGCGTGGAACCGAGCGATATTCAATGCGGAAGCGGTCGCTGTGTTGCTGTCAGTGGACTTTGCGCTCACATGGGGTGTATCCCAAAATAAAATCAAAGAAACTTTCATTGTGTCACTTCAGATAACACAGTGGTTTGAGTGACTTGCTTTAGTGTGTGTTTGTGTTGGTGGGTAATACATTGACATCTGTGGTTGAGAAGTATTTTGATGAAACTCTTTGAACCCTCACTTGTTCCCACGTGTGTTGGTTTCCTTTTCAAAATCTTGCTTGCCATTTTGGTCACAGCCAGCTGTGGCCATGTTCTCCACGATGGTGATGCTAGCTCGCTCGTTTTGTTTTTTGTTTTTTTTTTGGCCTCATATATCTGTCACCATTGCAAATATTGCGCTACATTAAAATGTATCAACAGATTAGCAGCCATAACAGAATTAGCTGTGGCGTAATGTGATTACATGGCACCAAAAATATCAAAATAGCAGTTCAGATGTTGCCCTGCAGTTTAAAAATGGAGACAGGAAATTATGAGCAGATGAAAAGTATCTGTTGTACAGAAGTTCTTCTTTTTGTTTTTGTTTTTTTAACCTGGTGAATTTTATGCTTCTGCTCCTGGTCGTGTGACTGAGATCAGTGTATTTTTCTTTAGTCTGCTGCATTTATTTTATTTGGTCTTTAAACAGCCTCGAGCTTAGCTTGTTGCTTTCTCTTGAATAGGATTACATGCCCACTTTCTTGTTCAATGGCTACGAGGACCTGGACACGTTCAAGTTGCTGGAAGAAGAGGACTTGGATGAACTGAACATCAGCGATCCTCAGCACAGAGCTGTACTGCTCACTGCAGTGGAGCTGCTGCAGGAGTATGACAGTAAGTAGACCGTTTAGACTGTTTCCATGAGTTTATGTTTTTGATTGTGGTTTTTTTTATACAAGGACATCTTCATGTAACCTCAAAATATTGTTGTGTGCCAGAGTTTTTAGGATAACAGTGAAGTAAACCTGACAAACTGAAATATAAATTTAGATTTATGCAGCAGCAGATTACAGGAGCCAAACAGGGAAAGGGAAATCTGAAGGAAGTGACTAAAAAGTGGTCCCTCGTTTATCGCGGGAGTTACGTTCTAAAAATAACCCGCCATAGGTGAAATCCGCAAAGTAGCCAATTATTATAGATGTTTTAAGGCTGTAAAACTCCTCACTACACACTTTATACAGTTTTCTCAGACAGACATGAACATTTTCACTCTTCTCTCTTGCTTAAACACTCTGAAAGTTCAAACCTTTGTAGAAAAATAAGTCCAGTATTATAGAATGAAACCAAAACATTTCGTCGACATTGTTGTTTGTTGGGGGAGAAAACTTACATACATCATACACTACATCACTTCAGAGTCACACTGCCAGCGATCAAAGACTTATGTAAACTTGACAAGCTGAACGCATTCTGTACTGTATAGGAGACACGGCACGAGATTGATTGACAATGGTCTGCAGCCAATCAGGACACAGAACACAATGCGCTGTTAAAAAAAAAAAAACGCATTCAAAATTGCACAAAAAAAAAATCAGCAAAACAGTGAAAGGTGAACTGCGTTATAGCGAGGGACCACTGTATGTATTATGGGGAAATAATACTTTTAAGTACAAGGAAATCATTTGCCTTTCTGTGACTTTCTGTGAGCAGGTAGCAGCGATCCAGAGCGCAGTGGAATGTCAGGTTCCCAGGAAAAGCTGCTGCTGGAGGGTCGGAGCATAGTGGGAGACTCCCCACGGGATTCTGGGTGCTACGAGAGCAATGAGAACCTGGAGAATGGTAACGCTTGCTTTACTTAGTTTATGCCACCATTACCCAAAGCCCACTGGGTATTAGGCTAACTAAGGCCTATTCTTGTTCTACTCTAGTCCTAGTACCACAGTGACTCCTTTGCCCTTTTCCTGTCTGGACCTTCACCTCTCTCCATCACTTGTATTGCACTGCATCTTAACACCCTGACCATGTCACTCCTTTGAATTAGCATCTTCCTAAAAGCTCATCTTTCCATCTGACTTACCTTCCCCCAATCTTTACAAAGCCCTTATTCACTTCAGACACTTTTACTGTGCTTGCACTCTACTTTCTTCACCACTCTTTTCATCTTATAGGCATTCTTTATCATCAGTGCCAAAGTCCAGTTGTAACTGAGAAGGAGCCAAGCCCCAGACCACTAAGCCTAGTCCACCCCACAATACTGGGAACACAGAGGGGGACGCGCTCCCCAATGCACAAAACCGTTCTGAAGAGAACAAAATCACTGCCCACTCATGGACTCTGCTTCCCAACTGTCTCACCTGTGGGCGCAAGGCCTGTAGGTGGATACGAGGAAGACGATTGTGAGCTCAGAGAATATTTCTGTTGAGTGTTTCTAATCCAGATATAAACTTGCAGAGTAGTTTGCCAGTGCACGCTTGAGCTTTCTTGCAGTGCTGATTCTCTCAGCCGATTGAAATTTAAGCAAATTTAACGGTCAGATGTCAGATCACAGCTAGCAGCTCATCTTATCATCACCGTTTCATTGTTTTATTTGTTTTGTTTATAGCGACCATATTGCACAGTCATATACAGTATGTGCCTAAAATGATGTGGATGAAAACATTTTCAAACTATAGTGCAGTTTTGTTGTTTTTCTTAGAGGTTTGGGGTCTTATTTTTCCAATCGATTGTGTACGTGTTGAGACTGGTCTCTGCAAAAGACTGTATTCTTCCTCCACACGTAGGACCATTTTAACAGCTCAAACACTCACCGATTACTGCTTTTTTTTCCTGTATCTGTATGGCCCCAGTGTAACTACTGGTTTCCCTTTTATGTACAAATATGTTGTTAAGGCTGAAGAGCAAAGCAAAGCTTAAATCTCTACTCTTGCAGTCTGCAAGAGTAGAGATTTAAGCTGTGGAATAAAACCACTTCTCTGATTAAAAAAGGACTCTGGTGCTGCTTGTTTGGTTTCTGTTTCGCCTTTTTTGTCTGTTTTTTCCTTTCATGCCTCTAAACGCTGTTCACAAACTAGCTCCTTAACAATTAGTAAACACTCTGCATTTCTTCTTGTGCTTTCAGGGCTCCACAGCTGTTCTCTCGGTACAAATCAGTAAGGGAAAAGTAGTCATTTTGTATTATTAGTATTGTGTAATCTAATGCAATTATTATTATTAATTTAAGACTTAGACCTGATACTAGATTTTCATATTTTCTCATGCAACATGCAATACTGTGCTAAAGTTTTGAGCCACACGCTTGTTTTTTGTTTTAAATATTTTGCCAGGAAATAGATGCTGTGATTTATAGAAATATGTGCAAACATATGTGGAAATGCAGTTTTTGCCTTATATAATTCTAAAAAGCTTTAAAGTGAATTTGATATGGCTGCTTTTATTCTTAAACACAGCCTGAACTCTCTTAGACAAGCTGTTCCTGTCATTATTGTCAGTCTTCAATAGTTCTCCAGCCTTCTTGAAGGACATTAAAAGCTCTTCTTTGGATGTTCCCTGCCTTTTGTTCCAGTCTTGTTAAGATGATCCCACACTGCTTTAGTAATGTTAAGGTCTAGGCTCTGGGGATGCCAATCCATGATTGATAGCGTTTCATTGGGTGTGTTTGCAATCACTGAAATGCTGAAAAATGAAGCTGTTGCCTAAATCTGACAATACTTTTAACCATTAATAGTTCCATCATTTTTGACAAGATCCCTGATGCATCTCTTAGTTCCTGTGTTAGGTCTTTGCTGGATATCTTAAGGACATGAGTTTCAGATGCTATTCATCTGCTGTACATATTCTTTTGGGCCTACCACTTCTTGTGTCCTCCACTTGTCCAGTTTCCTTATTTTTAAGGACACACTGCATTCAATGCTGAGATACGTTTGATTTCCTGCCTATCAAACTTTTATCTTTGAAGTTCCTGTTGAATCTGCAAAACATTTACGTACACAGGCCCATTTAAAATTGGTTCTTTCTCAGTTGTCAGTTATGTGTAGACACAACACTAGTTCATGCTTTGAGTCGGGTGCCTTTTTGTGCTCGGCTGACTCACTAAACTCAAAAAAATCTGAACCTGGTCAGGTATTGAAAAAGCAGTCAATGTCCAAAGAAAAAATATGCCCCAAAATCTGGAGAGCTATTGCTCAAGACCATTTTTAAAAGCTATAAGAATGTCTGGCTCCTGCAGGGCAAAATGTAAAAATAAAAGTGGTGGCTCAAGACTTTTGCAAAGTACCGTAATTAAAACAATTAAATCTGAATCTGGTAAATTTTGAGAAAAATGTGAATGAATACTTTTTAGGACTAAATAATAGTATCCGGCTGGTATTTTATGACTTTTTATATCAAAATAAACTTAGTAGTAGTTACTATTAGAGGGAATGGGAAAGGCTTCCATTTCTTTTAAAGGATGTTTCCAACGTAAAGAATAGATTCATTAATATGCTATTGTATATTAATGAGTATTTCTGAATATTTATTAATCTAGAGTATTGGCAAAGGGCAGCATGCATTTTTATAATGGAAGATAACTCAAAACCAACCAACAGATGTCATTTAAACTTTCTAATTTTGGGGAAAACGTCACTGTAGAGCCCTGAATGTCTGCTCTTCTTTAACATTCTGATTCCTCTGTATAGATGCAGCAGATCTTCCTCCAATCATTAAATAACTCGGTTATTAAAATACTCCTTTAATGCATTAATTAATGCTGTCTAAAAATATTATTTATAATATGTAATTTGTGTGTGTATGTGTATCATGAGTGCACTCAGAACTTTTTTAACTGTATTTTTTTTTATTAAACAAAACTTTTTGGGGGCATCAATGCAGTCAATTAAGGTATTTTCCCCCAAAAATGACTGAATGCTCAAACACATTTTCAGCTTATATTTCATTTATAATCTGAAAGATGCTAAATTAGTCACAGAACAGAGTTCAGCCATTTACCTGTTTCCCATCTGTGTGCCGCTGTCACAGCAAAGTATAGTATCCTGACTAAAGAAGTAATTAAATGTAGAGATTGTAATTAAGAGTGGTGCAACGGTATGTGCATAATTATGCAATTATGTATTTAAAAGAATAGGTTACCATCCTTTTTAACCTTCATAGTCAGTCAACAAACTTTTCTGATACACATGAAAACTGTTGAAGCATTTCTTGGGATTTCATCTATTGAACTCCTTCCTGTCATTCCACTGTTTTAAATCTTTGAGTTGCACTATATGGCTCTCATCCATTTCATTCATCCATTTTGCTCTGTAAACCAAAGGATATATGGTAAGTTACTTCATACTTTTGTTCCAAGGCTTTTGAAGTCCCCCGTTCAGGCAGCTTTCTTTGGGGTTATTTCTATAGTGCCAACAAAAGTTCATGAATCAGAACACTTATCTGAACATCTTTAGAAGCCCTGTCTGCTTTTGACTGGCTAATGTTGTAAGGATATGATGTTTCTATCAGTTTTATTTATTTATTTAGTTTTACTTTGGAACATATTCAGACCCACAGGAAAGTGAGTATTGGTGTTAATTCATTTTTTTCCTCTAATAAAATTTTCTTCATTTTTGCAAAAAGTCATCACAGAGGACAGCAAATGTCTGTGGTGCAATAAATGGACAAATTGGAGTCCTGCAGTGTGCAAGCTGCTGAATTTTTACAGACATAAAAATGTAAAACAGTTGGGAGGAAAGGCAGCCAAGACAGTAAAGAACACTCATGCTGAGTCATGCACGGTATTTGCATGAATAGAGTATTTATATTAGCGCAAGTCTTTCCATGAGAAGTGGAAGAGTGAGAAACGTATTCACTGTAAAGAGGGAGAAACCTTGGAAACTATCTAGAGTTCAAAGCTAAGAGAGAATTTTTTTATTTTCCAGGTAAAGGCAGGAAAGCAACCAGTCATTTTTCAGCAGGACACCAGTCTCCAGATTACCCAACACTGCCCATGACTCTTTCTACAGAGGCTCTTCAGCAAAACAGCAAAAATCAGCGCACAAAGTTTCCAAAAAGTTTCTTCATCAAGCCCTCCCTTAAGGGCTTCAACCTGCTCGGGCTGCGAAAAGCCCAAAGACGGTCTCCAATCCCAGCCAGCCGCAGCTGCGAGGACCTTGATGGTCCCCCGCAGCCCACCGGACCCTGGAAGCGCTCCCACTCTCTGGGAGATCTGCAGAACTTTGAGCAGAAGAACGATCTCAGTGTGGAGCTTAAGCTTAGTAAGGAAATACCCAAATCAGGCAAAACTAGCCCCATCAAGCCCTGTAGAGACGCCGTTTCTCCAGCTCAAAATGGGACTCCAACGGTTAGTCCTAAAGGAAGGGCTGATAGGCCGCCAGTACCCTCACAGCTTCGCCTACGCTCTTCTTGTCCAACATCAATGTCTTCCAACCCTCCAGAGCCCCTTTCCAGCCCCACTCCAAGTCCTCCTGATTCTAGTGCTAGTGGGGAGAGGGTGATGCGGACTCACCCCAAAAAGCCTCCCATCCCTCCCCCTGTACCTGCAAAGAAATCTAGAGAGAGACTAGCCAATGGCCTTCGTCACCCCCCTCTCTCCCTTCCCTCCTCGCCATCCCCTACCGCCTCGCCTACCCACTCCTTCAATCGCTCTCAACCCAGCAGCCCTATAATCCGCAGCCCTGGCCTGAGTGCCCCTGCTCTGCCTCCCAAGACCCCAAGTACTCCAGCCAGTCCATGTGCCACCTCATCAGCCTCATCCATGGGCGAGGAATCCGGCACTCCACCAGCGGTGCAGCCTCCCTGGCTCTCGGATCTTGGAGGCAAGATGGCTGTTACGAGGAAACTTTCCCATACCAAGATAGGTCCTGATCTTTTTACCCTCCTGGAGCAACGGCTGCAGAGTGAGGGCATTGATCTTACCGAGGAGCCCTACTCTGACAAGGTTAGTTAAGCATCATCTAAAACATGAAAAGTTACCTCATATTTTACATTACAAATTACATTTTACTTTCACTGGTGATAGATGAATTTATAACCAGTTCAGATACCATTAAAATGAAGGGTGACAGTTTAACATTGAATCATTAAAGAGCTTAAAACTGGTTTCCTTCAGTAACTGTTTGTTCTTGAAGCAGAAGTTTTTGTGCTGAAAAATAGATGTACCCACACAGATAGGATATTTGGTTTTTAAAAAGAATCACATCCTTTTCAGTGCTCAAGAAAAATATTTGATTTATAAAAATCCAAACCACCTCCAGGCCATACTTTTCTGGCATCAGGGTCTTTTGGTTCAGCATTGTAACATGCCTAACTTAACTCAGTCATAATTTTACCGAAGCTCTGATCCAAATAATTTTGTGTTCAGGGCAAAAACATGAGCAGCTTGCTTTTGGAACTTGGTTTAAAAATAGACACTAATAGAGTCTAGAGTCTGTGTGTTTCTCATTGTGTGCGCATGCCGTTTTATATCTAAAGGCATTTATTTGTGAGTGAGGGTGTGGGTGGGTGAGTGTGTGTGTGTGTGTGCGCAATAATAAATATGCTGGAGCTGAGAAGGAAAGACTGTGGCTTGAGTCTCACTATGATGCGGTTCAGACTGTTAAGTTTATGGGCTGAATCTTACTGAAGGCAGACGGGGTTATAAAACCTCCTGGCTCTTGCCAGACCCCAGGCTGGGCCCCTTGAACATGTTGGAGCCCCCAGCACTGGCAAGAAAACAACACATATGCAAACAGAGGCATCAAGTGATGAGGTGAGAAGTGGGGCCCTCGACCACAGCAGAGCTCTGCTGGATTCCTGTTAGTCATAAGTGGACTGGCAGAGACATGAGAGGCGCATTGTTGTCTTACTAGCAACGTGTGCCAGTGCGCCTTGAGGCTTCACTCTGGCTGTCAGAAGTCAGTTAGGTAACTTAATGAATGATTTAGATTATGAGTGAATCAGTATCTACAGATTTCAGTGAAGGAGGGCGTTAGGGCATGGCTAGTAGAGATTGTAGGGGGGGGAAAAGAAGATGAAAGTCTTTTGCGATTTGATGGAGCAGCATAGCAAAGTTTTGAATGAAGGTAGGAAATAGGACAGGACCCAGGGGTTCATACATTCCTGGTGAAGGAGTAGATGGACACTTTTGGATGACACTGATGTTGGAAATGGGGAGGAGGTGATTTGCATGAATAGCTGTCTAAAAGGTCAAATGAAAGAATAGACGTTTCAAAGAACAGGAACGCATTTGCTTATTGATTTTAGAAGGCGTTTAATGATACTAGCTTTAAGTGGTTTCAAAGTGTTGTTCTCTCCTAGCCATATTCAATGTCTTTCTCACAACTTTCCTCCTTCAGCACGGCCGATGCGGCATCCCCCACCCGCTGGTACAGCGTTACTCCGAGGATCTGGAGCAGCCAGTCAAAGACGTGGCGTCTACCATAGACCAGCTCAGAGTCAAAGAGCTCCGTAAACAACACCGCATGGCTGTAAGGGAACAATAATTATCCTGAGTGTTTCGATAGAGTCCACTTTTGGGCAATTTTATGCATTTTAGTGTGAGATAAATGCTGTGAGGCTTTTCTGAAATGTAACAATGAAGCCTGGAAAATTGGTCAGTTCGAAGGACCAAAAGCCATTGTTGGGGTGAAGTGCAAATTACGGTTGTTTGGCTATCTAATGGTCCAGCTAAATGTGGAAATAATAAAGGGAATGGCTATGTAATTACTGTTATGAAACAACAGTAAAAGCACTAAAGATGTTAATATAGCCTCATGAGTTGTTCAGAAACAGAGCTTTCGGGCCAAAGTTGCCTACAAAATGCACCATCATCCTGTGAAACTAATGATTTTTAAACCACTGTGTCACTCAGATCCCCTCTGGAGGTTTGACGGAGATGTGCCGAAAACCTCCCACCTTAGGAAACATCAGCACAGTCTCCGATTGGCTCATCTCCATCGGCCTACCCATGTACTCCACAACTCTGGCAACAGCAGGGATTGACACGCTGAGCCGCGTGGCCTTGTTAACCGAGAGCAGTGCGTGGGAAGCTGGGGTGCGGGACGAACGTCACGTCCGCCGCCTGATCTGTGAGGCGCGATCGGTCCACGCACACAGAGAGGTTCAGTCGTAATCATGCTGGTGGAGTCGAGTCGCATCAACTCACTGATCCGCACCATCTCGTGGTCAGTAGGTGGCCTTGGGTAAATTGGCCCTCACGGCACTACAGCGTTTCTTCTCGCACATGTTAAAGACATATCCTGCTCTCTGATATTTTTTTTTTCCTCTCTCTTTTACCACGCTGTCTTTTTTCCAAATGTTTACGACATCGAGGAGTTCCTCCAAACAGCCAAGACAAGATATCAGATGCCTTTAAAAGAAAAAAGACAAAAAAGACTGTAGACTCACTGTGTGGGATGACTTCCATTCTGAAGACGTCTCCCAAAGTCTTAAAATAAAGACTTGGATCTGCCTTTAAGGAAGATAGCACACAGGGTTTTTTTTTTTTTTTTAAGGATGGATTTTTTTAAAAAAGAAAACCAAGAAAGACTATTTTCTGCATATTTCATAAGTGCTTCATTTTTCATCTGTCGTGTGGCAGAGGCAACTTAATCTGAGGGTCATTTAAGGAAGTAGCTCAGCCAAAGCGACAAAATTCGATGTTTGCTTCCCACTAATAGTTTCACGATGACGCAACACATTTAATATCTGGACTGTTAATCGACTAAATACACACACCAAACAATGGCTTCGAGGTGGCTTATTTTGTGTCATGCTTATATATTGTAGCATAGTGCACATCTTAATTTCAAAATGACTCGTGTTAAAATTTGTGTTTTGCATTTTGATCGTTGCGGGCTTACTTTGAGCCCACCCTGTCATTTTATAGTTCTGTATTTTATACTTTACCCTTTCACAACAATATCCTGGATGGGCACTTTGCTCTTATATAACGTCTTAGAAAGCTCTGTTTTGCTGTAGAATTTACAATCACCTCTCGCTGAAATAATACATTCCCTGGTGTGTCAACGGACCTTTTAAGTTGCCTTACCATTATGATTGAGGAGCTACAAAGACTGAGACTGAACTGTGGCATATATCCTATACTATACATATTATACATGCATTCTCAACTAGATCATTTCACTGATATACATGGATGTGGAGCCCAGAACATGTTTCTAAGTGATTGAAGTGTTCATTCCAGTGAAGCCAGGCTAATACCACAACACCACAGGCTTGCCACAGGCATGACCATTGCTTGCTGAACATCTCTGGACCATATTAAAACACACTGACTGTACGTGTTGCAGAGGGGTTATGGAACCGGGAAGCACGAAGACACAGCTGACGTCTGGGCTGTCAGGTCCCGAATTTACTGGACTGTCGACAATGGCTGCAGCGTTGAGGAATTTAAATCATAGCAGAACAATAAGCTGTGTGGGATGTATTTTCTTTTCTTCAAATCAATGCTAGTATGACTTGTCAAACAGTTAAAAGGAATGGTCGATGCAAGCTGTCACATCAGGTGAAAAGCTGACCTCCGTGTTCAGAAAAACAAGTTTTAAAATTCAGGGAAATGCTGAGCGAGGTCGGCCTGAGGGGGGAGGGAATCTTGGGATCAAAAACACAACTGAAACTATCCAGAATCTCATTAGTCTTTCGTTTGCACACGCTAAATGAAACTGAACAAATAAATATTATTTCTCTCCCTCCCTTTTTATTTCTAACAGTTATAACTTTTGTAGCCAGAATCAAGCTGATGACTTACTTCATTTCATTAATCGAAATTCTGAACAACAGTTACTCCAAAATTTAGAGGTTATGTTTTGCAGTGGGCACTTGGCAGGCAGATGGATCGATGGATATACGATGCCTTTTTTTCCTCTCAATCAAAGTGGTGCTCTGGGCAAAGTGAGGAGAGGGGGTCGTTAGTAGAAGACCCGAAAAGTGTTTTGTAAAGATTGAAAATACTGACACTGTAAATGCACTTTAGATGGTCTAACTGTTTTATAGGCAAAAATTGGCTACATTTTGTTCACAGGTCCATTAATGGACAACTTTGTCAGGTAATGTAAAGAGTTTCAAAGGGGTTATGCTGGTATTTTAATGTAGTATTGAGTTCCCAATGCCAAGTTTAATTCAACTGAGTTCCAGTTACTCACTTCCAGTTTGTTTTGCAACCTAAATTCTTAATTACATATATGAAATGCTTAGCAGAAGTTGCACATTCTGTATATGTAATTGATATTTAAATAACTTATTTTTTGCTTTTTTTTTTTTCATGTCATCTTGTAATTAGCTGTATTATATGAATAGCAATACCTTCCTGCGTAATGCATATTGCTTTAGCCAGTAAGGAGCGACAGTATGTATTGTAAAATATGTGTACAAATAATTTTATTTGGTTTTCATCTACCTAATGATTGTCCATACAGATTTGCCTGTGTATTGAAACAACAAAAGCAATGTCCATAACTATTTGTCATTCTGAAATATAATAAACTGTTTCTTGCAATGACTGTGGCCTGCTGATTGCAACTATACAGCTGTACCCACAAAGGCAAAGTAGTGGAAAGCTATGTGTAAGCTATACACTGGCTTTGGGCCTGTGTGCTGGACTGTTGAGATCTGTTTTAAATATATATTAAAACAATAACCTAAAAAAACCAAAGACCCAAGACTTGCACTGTACTGAGCGCATTTTGTTTTTAGAGAACTTGCTTGTGCCACAGAAAACTAATAAAGAGGCAAGAGATGATCTGTTATCATGTTTGGAATTGGCAGATCTGAATAACCTCATGTAGATACTATAATGCCAAAGGCTCAGTTGGCAGAACTCTGTAAAGACAAGGAGCTTAGAAACAGTGTCTTTTGTCTGGCTCATAATGCCTCATTTCAAAAACTATACACACATCAGCTCATGACAACAAGATCCAAAGCAAATTTGTTCTGCAGGCAGTCTGTCTAGCCTTTGTTGCAGTGCAGCTGTTGACAGCGAAAGCACACTGAGGTTTTCCAGTCTTATTCATGTTGAGGAGTCACAAATGGATAACGATCAGAGTGTAAACCCCGGTTTGGTTATATGTCCCCCCCCCAATCCCTGTCGATGACTGCATGCGTCATTTGGGAGTCGATTTTACTTGCATGGCAGTCATCTCGGCTCATATCTATCTTTCTTCGGAGTGAAAACGCAGCTAAACAAGCATTTCCTTCAAGATGGATAAGATCAAAAATATGTGATGGCTGCAAAAGAAACCCTCCAACAAATAAGCAGCAACAGTTCAACAATCTCTTATAGTTTTATAGTCTTATAGTTATACTTTATGCCTACCCGACTCAATGTCAGAAAGAACCACTGCTCATTGAAACTGACATATTTCAGGGGGAAAGGTTTACAGTGAACCTTGTCTGCTTTAGCTGATTTGCCATTATTCTGAATCACTTCTCTTTCCAAGCTTTTGAATGGATGCTGAATAACTTCATCTTGCCACAGCCTATAATGAAAGCTCCCTAAGATCCTGAGGGATTCTTGATAGAACAATCCACCATACATGATACCTCATTGGCCATTTTATTAGGTACACATCTTACCATGCACTTATGCGTCAGCATATCAATGTATTTAGGTGTGCAGTATTCAGAAATTGCCGCTCTACTGGGATTTTTTCACATAACCATCAATAGGTCCTAATAATAGAAAATATCCGGTGAGCAGAGTTCTCTGGGTAAAAATGTCTTGTTTAGGTCAGAGGAGGATAGCCAGACTGCTTTGGGCTGATAAGTAGAAACTGTTAAAGTGCAGAAGACCATCTCTGAACAGACAACATGTGTAAGACCAACTGAGTGTCATTTCTGTCAGCTAAGATCAAGAAATCCAGACCACAATTCACACAAGTTCACCAAAAATTGGCTGATCTGATGATTCTTGATTTAAAGTAAACATAAAACCATGGCTCCGTCATGCCTTGTATCAACAGTTCAGGCTGCTGCTGGTGGTGTAATGGCTGTAGGGCAGGGAACTCCAGGCCTCAGGCCGGTGTCCTGCAGGTTTTAGATGTGTCCTTGATCCAACACAGCTGATTTAAATGGCTAAATTACCTCCTCAACATGTCTTGAAGTTCTCCAGAGGCCTGGTAATGAACTAATCATTTGATTCAGGTGTGTTGACCCAGGGTGATATCTAAAACCTGCAGGACACCAGCCCCTTGAGGCCTGGAGTTCCCCACCCCTGGTGTAGGGAATACTTCCTTGGCACTCTTTGAGCCTTTTGGTACTATTTTAGCATTCTTTAAAAGCCACAGCCGACATGAGTATCATTACTCACCACAGCGTACCCATCTTCTGATGGCTGCTTCCAGCATGGTAACATGCTATTACACGAAGCTCAAATCATCTTAAACTGGTTTCTTGAACATGAGAATGAGTTCACTTCACTCTAATGGCCTCCACAGTCACAAGATCTAAATCCAGTAGATCACCTTTGGAATGTGGTGGAATGGAGGATTCACATGATGGATGTGTAGCTGGCATATCTGCAACTGTGCTATTCTAGGAGCTTGGAAAGAAAGCAACTCGTCTTTAAGTTTTTTGAAAGTTCAAGAAACTTCAAAAGGTCCAGTCGCTTTCTTTCCAAGCTCCTTAGACTACCACGACCTGGATGACTGAGAACTGACATGAAGAAATCAGATGTGTGATTTCCTCATGCCAGTATAGACCAAAATCTCTGAGGTGTGTTTTGAACTTTGGAGGTGCAAGGGGTGCAAGTCAGTATTAGCAAGGTTTACATAATAAAGTGACCAACGAGTGTGACTGGATCATTGTGGACTTCATCAAAAGCAGGAACCACCAGCAAATTTAGTCCCATGAGACTGAGAGGTGTCCTCATTATCTCAAGATTCTACAAAACACAGTGATACATTGAAGAAAATGCAATACTTTGATCCAGTGGTTCCCAAACTTTTTTTGCTGGGCCCCCCTTCGTTTTACAAGAAAAATATCCCCCCACCCCCCACGCGCACGCACACACACACATCCTACAACCACACACACCCATATTTTGCTCCATTGCGTTTTTTATCACACCTCAAACATTTAGTAAACAATTAAGCAAATACAAGTAATCTGCAGGTAGTAAACTACTAACTCTTTTACGCTGCGTCCGCACGTACACGGGTGATTTTGAAACCGCAGCTGTTTCGTCCACACGTAAACGGCGTTTGGAATCAACGAAAACAGAGATTTTTTTAAAACTCCTTTTTTGGGTTTATGTGTGGATGAGGAATACTGAGTTCGTCACGCAACGTTAAAGGTATGTGCCTTTTCCACGTCACGCTGTGCGCCACGTTATTGTTTACTAAATTCTTAATTACATGTATGAAATGCTTAGCAGAAGTTGCACAGCCTATATGTAATTGATATTTAAATAACTTATTTTTTGTTTTTATTTTTCATGTCATCTTGTAATTAGCTGTATTATATGAATAGCAATACCTTCCTGCGTAATGCATATTGCTTTAGCCAGTAAGGAGCGACAGTATGTATTGTAAAATATGTGTACAAATAATTTTATTTGGTTTTCATCTACCTAATGATTGTCCATACAGATTTGCCTGTGTATTGAAACAACAAAAGCAATGTCCATAACTATTTGTCATTCTGAAATATAATAAACTGTTTCTTGCAATGACTGTGGCCTGCTGATTGCAACTATACAGCTGTACCCACAAAGGCAAAGTAGTGGAAAGCTATGTGTAAGCTATACACTGGCTTTGGGCCTGTGTGCTGGACTGTTGAGATCTGTTTTAAATATATATTAAAACAATAACCTAAAAAAACCAAAGACCCAAGACTTGCACTGTACTGAGCGCATTTTGTTTTTAGAGAACTTGCTTGTGCCACAGAAAACTAATAAAGAGGCAAGAGATGATCTGTTATCATGTTTGGAATTGGCAGATCTGAATAACCTCATGTAGATACTATAATGCCAAAGGCTCAGTTGGCAGAACTCTGTAAAGACAAGGAGCTTAGAAACAGTGTCTTTTGTCTGGCTCATAATGCCTCATTTCAAAAACTATACACACATCAGCTCATGACAACAAGATCCAAAGCAAATTTGTTCTGCAGGCAGTCTGTCTAGCCTTTGTTGCAGTGCAGCTGTTGACAGCGAAAGCGCACTGAGGTTTTCCAGTCTTATTCGTGTTGAGGAGTCACAAATGGATAACGATCAGAGTGTAAACCCCGGTTTGGTTATATGTCCCCCCCCCAATCCCTGTCGATGACTGCATGCGTCATTTGGGAGTCGATTTTACTTGCATGGCTTTTATCTCGGCTCATATCCATCTTTCTTCGGAGTGAAAACGCAGCTAAACAAGCATTTCCTTCAAGATGGATAAGATCAAAAATATGTGATGGCTCAAATCATCTTAAACTGGTTTCTTGAACATGAGAATGAGTTCACTTCACTCTAATGGCCTCCACAGTCACGAGATCTAAATCCAGTAGATCACCTTTGGAATGTGGTGGAATGGAGGATTCACATGATGGATGTGTAGCTGGCATGTCTGCAACTGTGCTATTCTAGGAGCTTGGAAAGAAAGCAACTCGTCTTTAAGTTTTTTGAAAGTTCAAGAAACTTCAAAAGGTCCAGTCGCTTTCTTTCCAAGCTCCTTAGACTACCACGACCTGGATGACTGAGAACTGACATGAAGAAATCAGATGTGTGATTTCCTCATGCCAGTATAGACCACAATCTCTGAGGTGTGTTTTGAACTTTGGAGGTGCAAGGGGTGCAAGTCAGTATTAGCAAGGTTTACATAATAAAGTGGCCAACGAGTGTGACTTCATCAAAAGCAGGAACCACCAGCATATTTAGTCCCATGAGACTGAGAGGTGTCCTCATTATCCCAAGATTCTACAAAACACAGTGATACATTGAAGACAATGCAATACTTTAATCCATCATTAAATTTGTTTGCACCGTTTATCCCATAAAAGAGGTCGATATTGATTTAAATAACTCCACCACCACAAGGTTTGTTGTGCAAAACTGAAGTTCATTTTCTGTTCCTCTTGGTATTTTTCAAGCTTTTACTAATCTGTATAGTTCACACAAATCTTTGAGGAGTCACAGCTTGGTTCACAGATGCACAGTGCATCTATGTTAAAGCGCAAACTCAAAGAAACGTCAGTAGTACTACAGTCCAAAGATATTACTGACCAACACAGAGTTGGTCAGTAATATCTTTATAGTATCTTCATAGTAGTCTTTTAAAGTTAAGATGGCTTAAAAGTAAACACATCTAAATGACCAACATCTGAAACATTCGCAGTGGCCTTGCAGACTATGAGCTTCCTCTTGGTGCATGTGAGACTTGAAACACATCAAAAGGAGAAGACTTTTGGAGCCATGTCCAGTAATTCTAATTAGACTATGCCTGAGGTACTGTGGTGTCCTCAGTGCTTTCCATACTGTAGTACCATGAAATAAACTTCTGTGCTGTATGGCAGATTTTGACT